GCAGTGTGTGTGTGTGTGTATACACGTGCATCTGTGGGTGTGGGTGTGTGCATGCCCACACACGTGCATGTGTCCCCCGCAAGAGAAACGGGCCAGCCTGTCTGGCTCTGTATGGCCCTGGCTGACCCCACAGCTGCTTCTCATCTGGGGCTTGACACTGGGCCCCACGGCATCTGTCAGAGGCGGAGCCCCCAGGAAGGGATCCCAGCTCAGGGGTTTCAGTGGGACTCAGCAGGATCAGGAAGGAGCCAGGCGCCAAAGTAAGGGCTTCCTGCCTAGGTTTATCCGGGTGACCAGCTTGGCCTGGCTGCGGTACTTGATGATTTACATCTTAAGGAAGCCCAGGAAGTGGGCCACCCTCCTGGGGCGCTCCCAGCCCAGGCCACATCCTGCAAAAAGGCATAGGGTGAAGGGCAGACACAGCTGAGCCCCCTCCTCCTAGGGTGGGATGTGATGGCCAGGGCCCTGGCACAGTACCACTCACTCCCTGGCAGGGGACACCACCTAACAAAAGGACTCGATCAGGTCACAGAAGCCACTTCTCTGTGCTGTGTGACCCACGGCAAGCCCTGCTTTCTCTGGCCTGAGACTCGCCATGAAATGGTGCCGAGGGAGACACTCCTCTTCCTGTGGGGGCAGTCTGTGCCCCTAGCACACCTGCCTCCGAGACTGTGAAGCCTGATGAGCCTTGGTACCCATTTCTCAGACCAGAAAGCTGAGGTCCCTACCCTCAGCTTAAGCTCCTTCACAACCTTAGAAGTGAGCTGTGCTGTTCTTACTGTACAGATGGGGGACAGAGGCCCAGAGGCTGGAGGAACATTTAGGACAGAGGCAGAAGCTTGTCCCACATCAAAGCAGCCCATGCCTGGCCCATCACGCCTTCCTTAGGCCAGGACAGAGATGCCCTCACCAGCCCCTGGGGTTCCTGCCAGTGTCTTCCTCCCATGCCTTGCACCCGGCCCGGCCCTGTGCCTGGCTAAGGGCAGTGAGGAGCCAGGCAGGCTCTTGCTGTGGACCCCACAAAGGCGGAGGATCTACTCTAAGAGTGAGGGAGCCATTTAGACAACACCAGGAAGGCTACATGCAGTAGCATTTGAGCAGGCCCCACAGGGTGGACTTCCATTTGAGAGATCAAAATGGGAATTTTTGGGGAGAAGACACCATTTAGGCCAGGTTGGAGGATAGGGTACAGCGAAGAAAGGAGGGGAAAAAGGGGCTCTCACAGAACTACTGCCACAGGCCGGGTACTGGTGGGCCTGAAAGCCAGGCGAAGATCTTGGTTGAGGGTGTGCCAGCAGGTGACAATTCTTTTTAGTTGTTGTTTATGTATTTGATAGAAGGTCCCACTACACAGCTGGCACTCATAGTGATCCTCCCCCTGTTTTCAGCCTCCCCAGCACGGGGATTACAGGCCTGCACCACCATGCCCAGACCTGGTGGCCAGCTCAGCATGCCTGGGGGTGGGGTTGGGTGGTGCTGGGGATGGAACCCCAGCCCCTGCACTTGCCTAAGCAGGCACTTAGTCTGCTGAGTTATCTCGCCAGTCCAACCTGTGACCATTCTTAAGAAACTTAAAATGAAAGGAGGCCTAGGGCCAACTGATACAGGAAGTGAAACCAGGCTGCAGCAAAAGCCTGAGATGCAGGGCCTGACAGCGACCCACGCAGGGGTGGACTACAGTGTGCAGGCCTCAGCCATCTGGGGCTGGTGGAGGTCCCTCACTGGGATGGGCCATCTCCTGGATGGCAGACCTGTCTCGGGGTGCGAGGTAGCACTCCTGGGTCCCTCACTGCTCTGGGCCATGTCCTGTTCCTGCTCACCGAACCTCTGATGGTCAATACCCCCTCCCTCTCCTAGGTGGGGGGCCAGAATGGTTGGCTCAGACACAGCCTGTCCTGTCCACACACCCATCCTCAGATGGCCCAGGGAAGGACAAGGCAGTCAGTTTCTCTGGCCTTAGGCTTCTCATCTGTGAAGCGAAGGTCTTTCCCTCCACTGGCCCTACCTGGCCGCTCACTTCCCTCCCCTGCCCACTGCTCTCACAGGATTCGGCCTCCCGTGAACCCTGGCACTCTTTCTGTGTCTCATCAGGTGATGTGAGGACCCAGCGTCCCTGCTTGGCATGGCCATCCCTGAAGGAATGTCTAAATGAGTCATATTCCACCTGAAAGCCCTAGCGTGCTGTGGGTGCAGGTTGGGACCCAATCACCTGCAGCCTATGGCCACCGTCCAGCACACCCCTTCTCCTGCACATCCCTGAGCTCTGGCCACCATGGCTCCACTGGGCCCCAGGCCCTGCCTGCAAGCCTGCTGGAGCCAGGAGGAGAAGATATACCTAGCAGCTGAGAGTAACCTCACACAGAGCCAGGACCGTGTCTCAGGAGGCCAGCAGCTGTGGGCCTCCAGGACTGGAGCAGGGATGGTGGACCAGGCATGCTGCTTAAAATGACACTCCGTGGTGCCTGTGTAGGGCTGAGGAATGGTCCCCAAGATACCCACAGCCCAATCTCCAGAGCCTGTGACTATTGCCTTACGTGACAGAAGGGGCTTGCAGAAGTGATTAAGGGTCATAAAATGGGAGATTATCCTGGCTTATCTGAATGAGCCCTAAATGTAATCATAAGCACATTATAAGAGGGAGAGAAGGGCCAGGGAGATAGCTCAGGGGCTTAAGTGCCTGCCTGACAAGCCCAAGGTCCTGAGTTCGATTCCCAATACCACACCAAAAAAAAAAAAAAAAAGGGAGGCAGGAGGAGAATGTGTATGTGCATGGTATCTGTTGTCTGTCTCAGTTGCAGGGTGGTCTATGCTTAATGAGGCCCTGGGCTCAGTTCCCAAGGTGGGGGCAGCAGAGGGAATTTGTGCAAGGAAGAGAAGAAAGCAGTGCGGAAGGCAGCAGAGTAGGGTGAAGTGGCCACAGAGGGCCAGCAGCCAGAAGAGATGGAATTGATGTATCCTGGGGCCTCTAAAAGAAACCAGCCTTGGGGCTGGAGAGATGGCTCAGTGGTCTAAAGCACCTACTTGGAACAAGCTTGGCAAAGCACAGGGACCGCGGTTCAATCCCCCAGCACCACATGCCAGCCAGCCGCGCCCCCTGGTGGGCTGAGCTGGCCACACACACACACACACACACACACACACAATAAATGTTAAAAAAAAAAAAAAAAAAAAGCCAGCCTAGGTTTCAGCCCCAGAAGATTGTATCAGGCTCCTGACATCAAAAACTCTGAGAGAACTAACCTGTGGTGTTCTAAAGTAGTACCTTTTCAGTGTCTGGTTACAGCAGCAAAAAGCAAGAAATACTGTTCTTTGCTTTTTTGAGACAGGGTCTCAAAAAACTCTGTCAAACTCCTGATCCTCCCGTTTCAGCCTCCTGAGTGTAGGGGTGCAGGAGCCTGGCTCAAAATACTGTTCTTAAAGAGCAGTGGGTAGCGGATGAAGCAGCCCTACCCCTCCCACTCAGGGAAGCCACCCTGAACTCCATGTCTTACTGCTATCCCACCTCCCCTAATTGGCAGATGTTATCCAGCAGTGGGAGTCACCACATGGGGACTGGCTGAGCAGGGACAGGGCCATCAGGCCAGCAGAGTTTTGGCCCTGTCCACCATCCCTGGGCCACCAGGCAGGCTTTGGTCTGCCCTGGCCACAGGCCCCTTAGCCCACAGCTGACCATATGTCCGGACCATACCCACAGACTCCCTTAACTTCAGTCACTGGTATGTCATGTCCTCCGCCCTGGGAAAGCTGGGGTCACTAAAATGTCTGAACAGTGAAATGGGGAGTGGAAACAGCCATTCCAGGCCAGCATTCACATGGTCTGCAACTTCCACAGCCAGGCCTGAGAGCTGGCTTTGTTAGACATCCTAGATTTGAGCTCCAAAGGCACTTGGTCCATTTTGCCTTCGGCAAACAAGGAACGGCAAGGCCGAGGCCCTAGGGAAGTCAGGAGCTGCCCTGAATGGAGTGAGGCAACCCCAAGGCAGCATCTGCAGCAGGCCAGGAGAGGGTGCGAGAGTGCGGGCCTTGAAGGCCAAGCCTAGGGGCCTAGTTGTGCCAAGGAATGTCCTGCCAAGGACACACACAGGGATAAAGAGGCAGAAGAGGGGTTTGGTGGATTTGAAGGTGGCTAGGAGGGGCTCCAAAAGCACTCAGAAAGCTTATCTTTTCAAAGTTTTTTTTTTTAATTATTTATTTTATTTTATTTATGTGTGTGTGTGTGTGTGTGTGTGTGTGTGTGTGTCCAGCTCAGCCCACCAGGGGGCGGGGCTGGCTGGCATGTGGTGCTGGGGGATTGAACCGCGGTCCCTGTGCTTTGTTAAGCTTGTTCTAAGTAGGTGCTTTAGACCACTGAGCCATCTCACCAGCCCAGAAAGCTTAGATAAATGGGAACAGAGACCGGGCCGGGGCCGAGGTAACAAGGCCCGCTGCAGACAGACTGCCATGCAGAGAGACCATCACTGCTGCCCAGGCTACAGGGCTCCATGGGAAGGGGCCATGCAACCTAGCCTCTACGGCTGGGTCTTGAGTTTGCCACCAAGTTCAAGGAGGCATTCACATGACACACTCCGGGGTGCCCAGCTGTCCCACACTGCCTCTCCCCAGGCAGTAGGAGGTCTTCAACTTGGTCAGGCAGAGAAAGACCACTTGGGGTGTGGGCCTGCAGAGATCAGCAGCTCTCCTCACCCATAAAGCCAAAGGGTCTCCTACTTCACAGGGGGAGACACACTTACCTTGTCTCTTGTCCTAAACTAAGCCCCTCCTTCCTTGGCCCTCTCCTCTGTGAGGGGCCAATGTGAGGCTGATTGTCAATTCCTATTCATGATAATGGCTAGCAAACACCAAGCACTAGTGCAGTACATCCAGTCACCCCCAGAACCTGCACACGCAGGGGAGGCCCTCAGTCTCAAGGTCACAGGTGGGCAGGAGGAGCAGGGAAGGGCTCAGGGAGACAGAAGGCAGGTCTTGCAGGTAGGAGGATGGTGGAGTGCACCTCCCTATACCTGCCAGGAGGTCCAGGGGTCTCCTGTCTTGGGACAAGTGTTCAGGGCTATGCTGAGAACCTGCAAAGAAAGCAGAGGCAGATGCAGCCAGAGACGTACTTGCCTTAGAGCAGTCACTGACTCCCCCACATCCCAGACCTTTTACAACATTGGGTCCAACTCTGCCCTCCTCAAATTCCCTTGGATCTGAACACCCCAAGTGGTGGTTCCCATGTCAGACAGCACCCCCCATCCTTCCCCAACACTGGGGCCCTGTGCACCCATGGACCTCTCTACCAGGTCCTCTCCTCCCCTGCCAAACCTCAGCCTGGAAGGGATGCAGAGAGGAAAGAAGAGGACAGGAGCCTGTCCCTGCTGAGGCCTCCTACTCTGGACAGTGGCCTTAACCCCATCACCACAACCACAGCCAAAAACGGCCCTTTCAGACACACACCTGCCTGTGTGATCTCTACTCGCCCAGTTGTCCCTCCGCTCACACCTCCAGCCAGCAATGTCCCATCCTTTGGTGAACTCCCAAACCCAGCTCTGATGACAAGTGGTCTGGCCCCAGTTCCCAAGCAAGGATGGGCTCCTGCCTAATTCTCTAGGGCTGCCAGGTATGCCTTAGCTGTTGTCCCACCAGGGGCTCCCTCCAAAGAGAGGCTCCTCAGGGCAGACCCTGGGCTAGCACCCAACTCGGGCTTGGCAGGGGGCAGCAGCAGCTGGGGCCACCCTACCCCAGGAACCTGGGTGAGGATCAAGGACCAACCCAAGTACTAGGGCACCTTGCCGGTCAGTGGACCCCCCCGGAGGTCCTGAGCACGTCTTTCCAGGGCTGGCCCAGGAAGGGTTCCGGTTCTGGCTCCGAAGTCCAGGGAAGGAGGCTCACACACTCCCCACAGTGACCCACTGTCTTCGAGGGGTCTGGGGCTGAATCCTGCACCACACTATGCGTGGCCGGGGAAATGGCACCTGCCAGTGATCTGCTCTCCTTTACCTCTGAAACCCTCAAGTTCGAGGGGTGCAGGTGAGGGCCCGGAGAGGCAGAGCGTAGAACCCCGCTCTGCCAGATCCTGCCCCCTCCCACCCCCAATACCACACACCCGCGCTTGCAGAGGAGAGGGGCCCATTCAGCGTGGGGAGGAGGGCGAAGCAGACAGCCGAGGCCTTGGCCATGGCCCATCCCCAAGCGGGGTGTAGGCAGTGGCCCCCTGGAGCGGCAAGGGGACGAGTGGGTCAAGGGGTAACAAGAAGGGGGATTACGAGGAAGAGGAGGAAAAGCGGTCCAGATGCCAAGAGGGAGCCAGGGAACCCCCACCCCCGGGAGGTGGAAAAGACCCTTCGCCGTGGGCAGAGCGAGACGGTGGGGCTGAGCCCACGACAAGACCGATGCTCAGGTCCCCCAGTGGACCCCGCGCACCCTGGACACCCGGACCCGGAAAACGAGCACGCGCGCCCTCACACGCCTCCCCAGGCGCAGCGCCTCCTACCTGCCGCGCCCACCCGGGACAGCTCCTGGACTCAGGAAGTGCGACCCGGGGAGAGCTGCACCTCCCTCCGGCTGGAGTGCAGCCTAGCCACGAGCGACCCAGCACTCGGATCGCGGCGCTCAGAGCCCGCCCCGCCCCAGCCTCGCCTGGCAGCCGGGGCGTGGTCTCCAGCGGGCGGGCTGCGCGCATGCGCGTTGGGCGGTGCCTTGTGGGCCGCCGGGGTGGCCGTGGGGCCCCTTCTATCCACCCGACCCCCCACGCCCCCTCCCCGAACTCTCGGCGGTCTGACTCGCGGCGCAGGACTGGATCCGCGAGACCTCAAGGTGTCTCTGGGATGCATTTGGGCCGGGAGTCCCTGTGCACCGAGGCAGGGTGGCCGCGCACAGAGGGACCTCATGGAGGGAGTGTGCACGCCTAAAGCTAGGGTGGAGGACCTCGGGCCACTGCGAGACTAAGAGAGGGCGTTGGGCGGGGGGGGGTGGGGGCTGGCCTCCCTACTTGTCCCAAGCGCCCGGCTGTGCCACGCGTGACGACGGCAGAGAGGGCACCGGACCCTCACGCCCGGGAGGATGCCAAACCAGGGTTTCTCCATGTGTAAGACGGGAACGGTCGCCAGCGCCCATGCAGGGCTGAGGCCGACCTGGCGGCGCACATTAGGCCTGGAGCGGTTCCTTTGAGGCGGTGAGGCTAGGATTACTCATCGGAGCAAGCCGGCTGCCCGCGACCCACCTTGTAGGGGAGACTGCCCCCACCCCAAATTTCCCAGGCTTGGTGAATGGTTTCATCAGCTTCTGAAGTCACCTACGCGGCTCCCACCTCGGCCCTTATCAGCTCTCCAGCCCTGGCAGCCAAGTGTCCCCGAAGTCATCAACACCCCCCCCACACACACACACACATACACACCCCCGGCTTCCTGCCAGGAGCCACTTATCCAGCTAAGGCTTACTTTTACAAAAAGCAGCTGCGACCTACCGCCAGAGAGCAACCTTGTGGGACTACCCCCCACCCCCACACAACCTCTTTCCCTGCTGGTGCGCCACTGCTCCTGGCCACACCCTGCATGCTTATCTCAGGGGTCTACTCTCCTCTCCTCCAAGCATGTTTACCCTTGGAAGGCTTTTTCGTCTGTGCACAGGATTCAGGCCTGCCCTGCCCCCTATGCCAACTTCACAAAACCCTGTTCGCCCCCTCAGCCTCTCAGAGTCCACGGGCTCTCGGAGCATTTCGCCTCTGTCCAGGTCTGTCCCCCCCCCCCCCCGCAGGTCCAGCTCCCGAGGGACACTGCCGTGCTTGGGCAATCCAAGTAGATCTAGGCTGCGGTCTTGCTGTGTGATCTGGGTGGATTTCGTGTCCTCTCAGCCTCATTTTCCGGGCCTCCTAAACAGGCTTGTCGCAGAAGTGCGCTATGAGCAGCGAAAGCAAGGCGTGGGCTCGTACCAGGCTCATCACAGGGTAGGTGGCCACATGGTCTCTGAGCCAGGCAGTGCCCTCGAGTTCCAAAGTGCAGCTGGAACTGCAGGAAAGCCACTTTGGCGTCTGCGCACAGCCTCGGGCTTTCCAAGGATGCTCAGGCCCCTTTTGCATCTCAGCACCTGGGAGCCCTAAAAGGAGTAGTGTGTGGGGGTTGCAAACATGGACTTTTCCTTGACCCATCAGCTGGTGAGCCTTGGAAAGGGCCCCAGATCACTGTAGAACCAGCACAGTAGCACCAATCCCTGCGAATGTGGGAACCAACTGGATTGATCCACAGTGAGCCCTCACAGGGTCCCATGGACACTTCACAGTGGCCCAGACGCTCTCATGTTGTAAAGACACCCCCAGAAACACAGACGTATAGGCGTGGCATTGTGCAATGTTAGGACTGCACACCTGAGGGCCCATGTCCAGCAGCTTTCAGCTCAGAAGGGGGGGGGGGGGGGGGGAGATGGGGCACTCAGCCTGCCATGGTATGGGGAGGGTAGCTTTGCTCCTAGGGGGAAGATCTTAGGAAAAGCCAGGCTTCCCAACAAGTTAGAGGAAGCGGTTGGGCCCTGATGGTTCTCTGGCCCCAGGACCCTGCTGGTTGGATTTTTTTATGAGCTTAGTCATGTAATGGTGCCAATAAAGGGTCTCATGTGTAGGTGCATTCCCATTTAGTCAACCACCCAGTGCAGGAGCGTTTATTATCCCCATTTTGTAGATGACAGAACTGAGCCTCGGGGAGATGCCCCAGGTCACACAATTAGTAAACTGCAGAACTGGATCCAGAGCTGCCCAAGACACCATCCACAGTTAAGCTCCTCTTCTGCCCTACTTCCTGGCCTCTAGGGAGAGGCCACCTCTACAGGCTGCTTTACAACTGACCAGCCTTCACCTCAACTCCTGCAACTGGGAACTCATTTCCTCCCAAGGCAGCCCTTTCCCTCTACTTTGTCACCCAGAGCAGATTCAACCTTTCTTCCTGGCTCTGTAAGACTGCATACCCAAAAACAACAACAAAAAGACTGCATACCCCTCAGCCTACCAGTGTGTGAAGACAGAATATTCTCTCACTCTTGCAAGGGGGGAGGACGAGGTAGTCACGCAGAACTACTGAGAAGTGGTTGCTAGTGCCCCCCCTAGTGGTGGGCAAAGGGCAGAGAAGATATCATGCAGAAGAAATTGTGCAGGACAAAAAAAAAATAACCGTTGAGTTCTTTGAAATTCCCTTTTCTGAAACAAGGCTTATATTTCATCCCTATCTTCCATATTAAAGATGCATCCAGGACTGGGGATGTGGCTTGGGTGGTGGGATGCTTCCCTGGCATGCAGAAGGCCCCACATTGGAAATTAAAAAGTAAAATCTAACCATGGCCAGATGTAGTGACACCCGTAATCCCAGCTACGCAGGAAGCTGAGGCAGGAGGATCACCGAGTTCAATACCACCCTGGGGAATTTACTTAGCAAGGCCTTGTCTTAAAATTTAAAAAAAAAAAATGTAAAACAGGGTTGAAATTTTGGCTCAGCACAACGGTCCTGGGTTCAATTTCCAGTCCTGGAAGAAAAAAAAAATGAACTCATGTTGCACCCAACAGAAGAAACTATATGAACTGGGAATCTAAGCATAAATAAATGTCCCACATGCCTTAGCTTGGTTGCCATAACAAAATAGTGTAAACTAAAAATAGTGTGAACTGGGGGACTTAAAAATAATAGAAATTTATTTCTTCCATTTCTGTAGGCTGGAACTCTCAGGTCAGGATCCCAGCAAGGTTGGGTTCTGAGGAGGGACACCTTCCAGGCTGTAATGCTGGTTTTTATCTTGTACCCGCACATAGCTAGAAGAGAACAGGGGAGCGTTCTGGCCTTTTCTAACAAGGGCACTACCTCCATTTACAAGGGCATCACCTACGTACCTCATTACTTCCCAGAGGCCTCACCTCCAAATTTAGTTGTCCCTTGATATCCATAGAGGGTATTAATTCCACGACCCCTTATATATCAAAATATTGTGATCCTTGAGTGCTGAAGTAAAGAGGTGTAGCCTTTCATACAACCTATCCACACTCCCAGTATAATGTACATCCATCTTCTCTAGATTACTTACCTGATACAATGTAACTGCTACATTAATAGTTGTTACACTATATATTCTTCAGAGGATAATGACAGGGAAATAGTTTTTCAATATAGGTGCAATTTATTTTATTTGTTTGTTTTGTAGCCCAGGCTGGCCTCAACTTGTAATCCTCCTGCCTTAGTGTGGTGGATTGCCAACTGTGGCCAACTTGTCACACCCAGCTGAACAAAAACCAGCATGGTACTGGGTGTGAGAGGCCCACCTGAGGGTCATTGCCAGAAACATAAGAGACAGAGCTGGAGAAGAAGAGAGGCTGTTAGGGAAGCCGTTCAGAGAAGCTGTTGGAGCTGTTGGAAACTGCTGGTTCTCTTGGGCTATTCTGGTAGAGGACCTTGTCATGCTGGCTTTCCTGGTGAATTTGGCTGTTGTCTTTGGAGGAGGAGCTTGGGACCTCACTGCTGCTGAGCATGCATTGCCACAGTTCACTTTGGGGGATCTCAGGTCCTCTCCTTGAGCAGCTCTTCCTGGCTGCAGAGGGGGAAGATGGTGCACAGTTCAGTCTCCTAGAGAAGCTTGTCATGTTGGCTTTCCTGATGGGAACTCAGCTTTCTCAGCGCTGGAGGAACTCAGGACCTCAGTGTTGCAGAGGACAGCTGTGGCACTTTTCAGGGGAGCTCTGGTTCTTACCTCGAGCACTGCTGCCTGGCTCCAGCTCAGATCCCTCAGCCTGCTGCCACACAGCCTTCATTTCCCTGACATGGACTCTCTAGCTTCTGTGGAGGGCCACCTGGGCAACTCTCTCTAAAAGAAGAGCGGTTGTCTCCATTGTGGCTGTGCCTACCCCTATTTCCATGTATTGATATATACAGAGCTGGCTAGGCCTTTTCCTTATCCCTTCAATTGGCTTTAAGCAATGCATATTGGTCTAGCTGCGGTCCTGGTGGTAGTCTCTGAAGACAGCACGTGTGTTTCCCTGGTAACCCACACCTGCTGCTCTTTAAAATGAGCCAGGTCGAGACAGGATGAAGAGCCAACGCTCCATGCTTTCAGCTGGGATTGAGCCTTGAGACAGAGGCTATGACTTCCTTGGGTTTGAAAGATTGCACTTCAGAACTGAGGTAGCAGACCCCAAAACATTAGATACTATCTCAATAATATAATGCAAATTATTTTTTCTGCATATCTTTCTGTATATTGGAGAGGTAAATGCAGACTCCTACCTAGCCCAACTCACAGTGCTCACCTACTTCCTAAAATTCTCAGTCATTCTTCCTCAAGCTACTCTTCCTTCACGACTGAATAAAACCTGGGTTCAGCCCTGGATTGAGGCCTTTGTTCTGGATAGAGATCACCATGGCTGGATTTAGGACCCCTTAGCTTCCCATAAGTATAAATTTGACTTAGCCTCTTTATTCTCACTGTGGGTTGCACTGGAAGTGGTAGATTGGAATTAACTTGGTAGGATTCCAATAACTTATTCATGGGATTACAAATATAGACTTCTGGGCTGGTGAGATGGCTCAGTGGTCTAAAGCACCTACTTAGAACAAGCTTAGCGAAGCACATGGACAGCGGTTCAATCCC